AACGACTGAGCCACCCAGGCGCCCTTATTAGCCAGTTTGTTAACTTGCTATTAATTGTTGTGGGTTTCAGGGGGATATGAAAGTTTAAATTTCTAATTTAGTAAAATCTGGAAAAAGTTTCTATTTGCTTTCTGCTTTGAAAGCCCTTTACCATTTTGACATCTAGTAAAAGGCCACCTATGTTTTCTTCTAGCTTCTTTGTAGTTTTACTTTTAATAATTCTAATTCACTGGGAATTTAAGTATATTTAATAAGGTATGTATCTAAGTCAAATTGTTTTATCCCCTCATCTAATTTAGAAGCACTAATAATCTGGCCTTTTCCCTTTTGATTTTTGATGTTTTATTGTCATACTCTAAGTAGTTTGTATTGTTATCTCTTGTTTTTCTGATAATAAGCTTTTAAAACATCCTGAAATAGAAGTTGTAGCAGTATATTTTTGCATTTTAAATAGTGTCTGTTGTAGTAGGTAAAGGTTCTCTCATGTTCAATTTACATATTTTCTTGTGTTTTGGTAAAGATACACTTGGGTGACTGGTAAAGAGCCACTTACATACTATGACATGAATTTGTCAGCTCAGGACCATCAGACGTTTTTCACCTGTGACACGGACTTTTTACGTCCTTCAGACACAGGTATGTGTCATATCTGTTCGTGGGGTAAACAGTGGTGATGAAAATTATTTTTAAAAGTCTTTAGAGTTACTTATTATAATATACAAAGTTATTTGGCTTGAGGTTGTTTTGCATTATGGATAAGAGACCCAGATAAAATTGAAACTAAGTATGAATGTAAACTAGGTTGTTACACTACCTACCCTTCTTATAAAGAATTTAAAGTATTTTATAAAAATGTAAAATTACTTCTTTTATTACTTAAAAAACCTTTCAGATCAAATACAGCAACTGTTCATGCAGAGAACAGTATACCCAGTTTGGTCTGGGGAATTAACATGTGCAATTATACATAAGAGTAAGGCAAAGTGTAAACCCAGGCATGGCATGTAGATTAAAATGGAGTATATTTTATCTCAGTCATAAATTAGAGGTGCATGGAAAGTGGTGGAAGATCATAGAAATGTCTGTGTTTAGGTCTAAGTCTTCTCTATGGAAGATAGTATTGAGACTCTTAAATACATGGTTAAAGACAGAGATCTTTATCACTATTCTTTTACTTTGAATGCCCTCTCCTTTCGTATCTATCCTCCCACTTTTATGCTTCCTGCTTTTATCCTTCAAGATCCAAATTAAAAGTCACATTCTCTAGGAACCCTTCTCTGGGAACTCCAGAGTTAAAAACTTTCTTCTCTGCAGTTCTACAGTACTTAGTCCAAGCCTCACTGAAACCATTCTAGTTAATTTATTCAACCACAAACATTTACTTGTTAATTTTATCATGTTGTTTTATTTTATTTTTTTATTATGTTAATCACCATATATTACATCATTAGTTTTTTTTTTTTTAAGATTTTATTTGTTTATTTGACAGAGACACAGGGAGAGAGGGAACACAAGCAGAGGGAATGGGAGAGGGAGAAGCAGGCTCCCCGCTGAGCAGGGAGCCCGATGTGGGGCTCGATCTCAGGACCCTGGGATCATGACCTGAGCCGAAGTCAGACACTTAACAACTGAGCCACCCAGGCGCCCCACATCATTAGTTTTTGATGTAGTGTTCCATGATTCATTGTTTGCGTATAACACCCAGTGCTCCATTCATGTTGTTTTAATGTTTATCTTCCCTAATAGAGTGGGAAACTTTGGAAAGCAGGGACTATATTCTCATCATCTTTGAATCTTTATCGTCTAGCACATTGTCTGGCATACTGTAAATATTAATATTTATTCTTTGATGAAAGTATCGATGAATGACCTTGGTGTCACAGATGTCTTAAGCAGTTTCACTAATAATAGCTAACACTTGTATAGCACTTATTATGCACCAAGCACTGTTCCAAGCAATTTATATAAATGTACTGATTTAATATTCCCAATCATTTTATGAGATAGGTACTTTTATCAGCCTCAGAAATAAAGGAATGGAAAAAAGGAAGGAAAGAAAGAAGGCAGGCAGGCAGGCAAAGGAAAATCAAGTAATATGCCAAGTAATCTAGGTAATAAATGATAAAGTTGGATTTCAAATTCAGGTCTGACTCTTAACCACTATACTACTACTGCTTCTACTCACCATAGTGATAGGCAAAAGAAAATCACCACTAGGGGTCTGAAAAATAGCCAGTTTTCCAGCATTGAAGTGAATTCTTTGTGATCTATATCTGTTGGACTAAATATACTAAGGGTGGATGATAGCAGGAAATCCAAGGATCTTTGGAATGGTTACATAAATGGGTTTAATTGCAAATAGAAAAAGGAATTGCTTTATTTTTACATGCTTAGTGTTTATATTAATGGCAAAAGTGTTGGGTTGGGGAAATAACAGAAATAGAAATTAGTATGTCATGTTAACTTTAAGAACTAAAGTTGACTCTAAAAGTAACTCTAGAAATTAAGGCTTTTCCTCCTTGTCACAAGCAGAATTGCAGACATTGGCGGGCTTTTCAAGTAGCAACCATGGCTATCCACTAAAGCTGTGCTCTTAAAACATTTTTGTTCACTTATCTCCTAAAGGATTTTGAAAAACTATGTATCCTTTCAAATATTTTTAACTTGATATCGTAAGATTAAATAATTGCAAAGAATATGATTTTTAGCATATTAAAGACAGTTGAAAATAAAACTAGAATACCCTATATTTGAATGTATCTCAAGAAATCTAATGACTTGATACCCACCATTATCCATTGAAAAAGGCATTGATGAATACTCTTTAGCAGTAGTAAATTTTATGTAAGTCCTTTTGCTTCTTGAACTCACCCATTTCATACGTCTATATTATTTTATTTTAATTATTATATACTTGAGAGTCTTATCACATATGCTTTTCCACAGTAAAATTTTTTGTGTAAGTTTTTAAAAATTTTAATTTCCTTTTATCATAAGGTTCTAAATGGTATCATGTACTTTAGTTATATATATATATATCTTAAAGATTTTATTTATTTATTTATTAGAGAGCGAGCGAGAGAGAAACAGCATGAGAGAGGAGAGGGTCAGAGGGAGAAGCAGGCTCCCTGCCGAGCAGGGAGCCCGATGCGGGACTCGATCCAGGGACTCC